TATCCTAAAACGTTACCGTGAAATACGTTTATATTAGTTTTGTAAAATTTTAGAAAAATGTATTACTTTGGTAAATTATTTTATATAATGGCTTAGTTTGGTTAAAAATTTGGTTTTCCTTTTAGGAAAAAGTTTTGGATTGACTTATCCTTTTTCTGGTAGGAAAAAGTTTAGGACTCTATAAATAGAAGTATGTTCCTTCTAACTTAATCAGCATTCACAATGTACTCTTAAGGGCTTTGAGAGTTTTGGTTAGGGAAAGAATTTATAGGTCACAAGCTTGATACGTCATCACTTGTGTGAACCTCCCATGTATTCTGAGTGAATTGGTTGATGTTGTTTCTCTCTGTATTTTGTACTCTCATATTTATAGTTGCTCATCTCCTTTGTGGACGTAGATCGATTGATTGAACCACGTTAAATCTTTGTGTCTTTTGGTATTTCTCGTTGTCTTCTTACTCGTGGTCTTTTGAGGTTTGCTTTGCTACTTTTTACATTTACACCTACTTATTTTCGGTCTTAACAAATGTAAGAAAAATTATTTGTAGGAGATATTTACTGAAGATAGTGGAGGTAGGTAGGTAGATATTATTACACATAATCACATGTAGTAGACATGAAAATTTTACTTTTAGCAAATGCATGAACCTAGATCTTCATTTTGTATTTTTAACATTTCGTTTAAGATAATTATAATATTCGTGCATGCCACTGCTAGAAGTGGTTTCAAACATTATTACATTTTACCACTGCTATAATAAGTGGTTGAAACATATTTGCATATTTCTGCTACTAGTGCATGAAAAATGAAATTCATGTCACTTTTCTCGACTAATGGGAAAATAAAATACAAGTCGTAAGGGACATGATTAGGATATTATACCATCTTTTATTTAAAAAAAATAAAACATTCCCCCCTTCCCCTTCTAGTCTATATATATTGTTGAATAATCATAGTAAAGGATATCAACACTTCTCTACAATTTTTCTTTAGTGTCATACATCTTTTTATTTTCAAGTCTTTAGTAAAATGAGTCTAAAGTCTGTGTTGTGTGCTAAGATAGAAATGAAGGCTAATAAGGATGTGTTTCATGATGTCTTTACAAATAAACCACACCATGTCTCTACTATATGCCCTTTGCATGTACAAGGTTGTGAGCTTCTTGAGGGTGTCTTTGGAACCGTTGGATCCAAAATTTGTTGGAGATATACTCTTGGTAAGCTAAATCTTTATAAGTTTATCAGAACTGACAAGTAAAAATAGAAATTAAATTAGAAAATATTTAACCCACTGAGAGGTCGAGTATATATATGATGTATTATAAGGTATTTCTTTTGTTTTTTTTTACGAATCACTCCTTTTCTTTTTGGACCGAATAATTCATTTTATTTTATTTTTTGTACGGCAGGAGGAAAAGAGAAGATTTCGAGGCAGGTAATTGAATGTATAGATGAGGAAAAAAAGGTGATCACATTCAAAGAATTTGAAGGTGATCTAGTGAATACATATGATAATTGGAAGGCAACTCTTCATATAGAAACAAAAGGTGAAGTTGATTTGGTAAGTTGGACAATGGAGTATGAAAGGCCAAATGAGAATGTCCCAGAACTAATAAATTTGTTGGACTTTATTATTGGTATGACCAAAGCTGTTGATGATCACCATGTCAAGATGAATTGATGGGATTATATATATAAATACTTACTTTATTTGATGTTTGAGAGTATGGTAAAAAAAGAATAATCCATATGTTGGTAGTGTATTTTTTTGTTTTAAATCCATGGTCATTTCATGTTTCATTGGGTCTTTTCATGTAATCTCTTATGTGTTGTTTAATAAGACATATGAAGTTTATATATATATTTCTCTTCGCCTCCTCCTAACTTAGTATTACTCTCTCCGTTTTAAAAAAAAGGTTCCTATTTCCTAGTTTATTTAAAAAAGAATGACTCGTTTCCTTTTTTGGCAACGCTTTAATTTTAACTTTTCACGTGGCATGTTTAATATCACAAGATTAAAGGTCATTTTGGTACATTTGAATTAACTTTAATTTAAAATCACAAGATTAAAAAGTTTTCTTTCTTTTCTTAAACTCTGTTCCAAGTCAAACTAAGCCACTTTTTGAAACGGAGGGAGTAACATTTTATTTCGCAAAAGGATCAAATATATTATTACGCTATCAAAAATAGTCAAAATATACTTTTTATTTAAGTTTTGACATTTTTATTATACCTCTACCATTGTATTTTATTACACAACACAAAGGGGAAAATTTTCACTTATAGGAGTCTTCTGAATTTGAAATTTAAACTTGATCCAACTAACTTAGCTGGTGGACTGCATTTTTGTTAGGATCGAATTCACGCACACACATTAGATGAATGAAGAACACAAGAACTTTCAAGAGAAAGAGATGAGAGATCTAGAGAGAGAAAGAGAAAACCCAATATTTCGTGGTAACACCCTGTGAGTAAACTTCCATGGCGGTGAGGTATATTTATATTAATAAAT